TTGAGGAGCTCATCGTCGGTGAAGATATCACGTTCGTTCTGGGGGCCTTCGTCGTCGCTGTTGTGTTCAAACCCGGCGAAGAGACTGCTAGACCGTAAAGGTCGTCGAATATTGGACAAGACATCATCCGAGAGCGGACCATTGTCGTTGTTACCGGGATAGGCCTGCACATGATCTGGACCAGATGCTCTAGGAGGCTTCACGGGGCCATCTGCCGGGTGATCTGTTACCACTCGTCTCTGTTTTCGTTTTTCGGACCGTGGCGGAAGCGGGGGCACAGTGTAAGACTCGAGGCTAGGCTCCTGCAGTTTAGGGCGAGATAGTGCATCTTCATCTTGAATAGCAGAGGGAAGAAGACTAGCGGGAATTTTGACAAGGGGGTGATCGATACGGATCTCCTCGGTTTGAATGGCAATGGATCGACAATCAGCAATTGCTCGGAAATTGGCCTGGCAAGCGATATTTTTGGTTTGTGGTGGTAGAACGACGCTGTTACGAGGCGAGGATGGCTCAGAGCCTGGTGGGTGGATAGCAATCATTGGAATATCCATCTTGGATGGGACATCATTCGGGGACAAGCTGGGACGATTCTGGCTTTGAACGACAATTGTTTCGGGAACAACATCAGTCTGGGTGGACGCCGATGTCATTTGCGCCGGCTCCGGGGTGGATTCAACAGGTTGAGGCAATTCAGCCACATTGGGCGTCCATGGAGGACTTGGGAGTTCATCCACGGTCTGACAAGAACTAGAAACCATCTGAGGTACAAGGGGAGGCGTGGCACTGTCTTTCGTCCCAGGTATGTTCGCATTCTTATCGTCTTCTTTCTCGGGCTCTGAAGCCGTTTCCGCTAGCTCAGGAACAATGCCGTTTACAACCTTCGCTTCTATCGTAGGCGACGGAGGAGGTGAGTACTGGATGCCGATATCGCAGTATTCAACCGCCGAGTCCAGTTTTACCGGGCTAGCAAGCCCGAGATCCCGGGCACGGAACTCCTCCATGGCAGTGGGCGAGTGTAAGTCCGAGCTTTGAAGGGACAGACCCAGGATCTTCCTGGCCTTGTCCGAAATACTATGGGAACCCTGTGAGTGAACTGACATTGGGCGTTCCATTGGACGTTCTTCGGGGAGCGCCTCCGGAGAGGCGGGGAGGTCATCTTCATCAGATGGAACAAACTCGTCCTCTTCATCAAAGTCGAGTTCTTCCGCCAGGTTTAAACCAGAACCATTCTTGGCTCCAGGCGCAATACTCATAACCGAGTACCGCATGTTATGGAATATGACGGCCTCCTCGGCTTCTTCCGAGCTCACGCTGGTCACGCTCGTGCGTCGGCGCCCTAGGCTACTAGATGCCACGCTCGCCGAGTCGCTTTCTTTATTCTTGTCATGAACAAGGTCACTATTCTCACTCGGCTGTGAATGCGAGTGGATAGTCGCCACTTCCTGGGTGGCTGCGACCTCGTTCAAAACGGTCTTCAAGCGGCCCTCCACTACGTGAACCTTGCGTTCCAGGGTTCGGCGTTCATCTGCCCAAGACTCTTGATCGCGATTCCAGAGTAATTGGGTTCGTTCGACTTCCTCCTCCCGGCTTCGAACTTTCTTCTGTGCTTGCTCGAGCTTTTTACGAACGTCGCCGATGTTCTCGACCGCTTCATCGCGCTCCCGAGCTAGCTCGGTCATCGCAGATGACGTCCCACCTTCCAGTAGTTGGATTTGGTGTTTCAACGAGCGCCCTTCCCCGGTCACCTGGGACAGATTCGTGGTCAATGTGTCATTTTCCGTCCTTGATTCATCCAAGCTCTCCTCCAGTCCATCGATTGCCTTGGTTTTGTTCTCTATCTCCCGCCGCAGCGAGAGAATCTCCGAAACGAGAGATGCATGGAGAGTAGGTGTGATCCTCCGCGGGTCGAAAGGTGATAAGGTGTCCTCGGTGATATCGATATCATCATCGTCTGTTTGTCCGTCGGGTGAGAATGCGGGGGTTGGGAGACCAGGGGGAGAGGAAGGCGGCGGGGAAGAATCTCGCCGGCGCAAAGATGGTCTTGGTCGTGATCCTTTGGATGGAGCGCGAGTTCGTGATTTAGAGGATGGTGCCGGGGACGGGGCCATGGAGGCCGGGGACTGTAAATCGGCCATATCTCTTTGCGCATATGCTGGATGAAAAGCCTCAAATCATTGGGGCTCTGCTCTTTGGGCTATCCAGAGCACCTCACGCACTGGATCCCATGAAAAGACTACCGTAGTTCAACCATCCGACTATTAACTGTTTCGAAGCCGCCAATTACCTCCAGAGACAGGTTTCACTTGGTGCAATCGACTAGTCGAACGCAGGATCCAACGCGGGATGGAGGGGGAATTCAAGGAGATTGTGGAACTTAGGTGGAACGAAGAGGTCAGCCACAGTTACAACGCATATGAAATACACGCTTGAGCACCCAATGCTGATATTTGGATATGCACGGGGGAGAAAGACACTCTAAGTCTACTTACAGTGACAACCAAGTCTGACCGTTTTTAGCTTAAGAGACGAGTAAGATGTCAACCCCGGGTATATGATCCCGGGAAGGAAAATAGATCAGTCCGAAGGAAGGGCCGATCGCGACTAGAGAATCGCTCAAGATCCCGTAGATTTACGAGAGTAATCCGACAGGAGTTGGAGGGGGCTTAGACCGTAGATTAATTTGGAAAAGACCTTCGAGGGGGATTTAGATCAGCCTTGCGGCACACCTGTACATATCGGAATCACCGTCGGACGCGAGGAGAGTCTTGGCTCTTTGACATCCAAAAAAAGAAAAAACAAACAGAAGGAAAAAATAAAAGTCCCAGGGGGTTCGTTAGGGGGGTAGTATATGGGGAAAAGAATAGAATCCACCCGATTAGCCCGCAGGATTAAGACTCCACTGCAGCTGCCAGGCACTAAGACATATGAGCTCCAATCATTTCAGTATAAACCGATTTCGAAGTCCGAGATAATCATAGACCAGAGTCTATGCTTCGTATTGTATGTTGTATATCTCAAAGGTCATGGAGAAGCTGATTATCTGGGGAACAAAGAAATAAAGAAAAGTAAGAAGAAGATTAAAATGGAGCCCTAATCTCGAGAGAGAGCTAGTACTCCGTACTCCGTATCGAAAGGTTGAAAAGCCCACTGGAAAAGGAAAATGAGTACTCCGTACTCTCCGTACGGAGTACAACATATATATATATTGTATGTTGTATAGTCAAGATTCATAGATAAATTGCCCGGGGTAGGAGTTCATGACAAAACTCCACTGATGCGTCGAGATGAAGCTCAAGGGCTTTTTGGAGGGAAGATCATCCCCTATTCTTTTTTCTTTTTTACCTTCAACTTTGTCCGTTGAAGGCAAATCACAAAAAAAAAAGAAAAGAAAATCATTTTCAATGGCCAATAGTGTCAATTCCGAAGCCACTAAAATAGCGATGGTTAGCGTGTTTGAGAGTATTAATTAAAACGACCGTGTTGGCGGCCAACCCGTAGCTTGTTTGGGTGACGATCGCCGTAGACAATTTCGCATGGGAGCCTATGATCCGGTCTTCTGGTTTCAGAATCCCCAGGGTGCATATATATGTTGCATGTTGCATGATGCATAGTTAGTATTTGATTGTCACCTCTTTACGATCCTTCCAAGGAGACAGTCAAACCGTCAAATCGTCAAATCATCCACGGACATTGCGGATCAGGGGTAAAGACCAGACCCATCCAAGGTCTCCACCGAGAGCTTCGAGGAACGAGGAACCCACTTCAGCCGAAATGAAGAACCAAACTTCCATTTGTTATGGTGGGAAGTCTGGTACAGAGTATGGAGCACATCGTACGTGCACTCCATGGCCTCTATGGCCTCGGTCTGGATTGGAGTCGCTTCTCTTGCATATGCCGATGCAAGTGCCGCACAATGACAATGATTGACAATAAATACTTTAATTATCGGATCCGATGTGCGATGTGCGATGTGCGATGTACTCCGTACTTCGTACAGACTCTGTCAAGCCCCCAAATGGCCATTGAAAATTGGACTAACGGGCATTGACAAGAGGAGCAAGGGAAATCTCCACTAATCATTGCTACCCATTTGCCCCACCTTAGGGGACACGGGGTACTTTTGACTTGGCCGTTGACAGGTCGATATTTGCTGATATTTCACATCCCTGCTCAGTTTCTTGTTTCTCTGACAGTCTAGGGTGGAGGCGCAGGCGATATTACACAGAAGGTGTGTTCAAGTTATGCAGGGAAAGGCAAATAATTAATGGAAGTCAAATTGACACTCCGTGTGAGGGATAAGGAAGTTGAGGAAGTTGAGAAAAGGCGGGAAAAGAAGGAAGAGGCAGAATGTTCTCTCCTCTGTGCTTGTCTCATGCACATTCCTCAAGGCTCAACACATGAAATTACTCCAGAGGCACTTTCAAAGGCACTCCAAAGGCACTCCAAAGGCACTCCAAAGGCACTCCAAAGGCACTCCAAAGGCACTCCAAAAGGTACCCCAACTACTTCCAAGGTTACAAATTGTCATGTGCTTGTTTTTAAACAACCGATTGTTCTATTTCCATTTCCGATCCAATGAGACCATCCCGCCAGAACAATCAGCCTGTTAGAACAGGACTGACTAAGCATATATTTACCGTCAATTCCGAGGTTCCATGTGCCCTGATATCTGAATTGACTCATTTCACTCTGACCTACATACAACATATATCTAGCTGAGATCTCAACTTCTGTGAAGACCTTACGGCAGAGCCTCGGAAACCGACATAATCTCGAAACTGCGGGGAATAACTGCATATCAACATCCCCACCAACTACAACACCAAAACTACGCAAAATGTCGACAGACAACCCACCCCAGATGTTATTTTTCGATACATTCGGCACGGTAGTATCGTGGCGTACATGCGTAGCGGAAGAGCTGATCGCAGCCACCCTACATGCTGTGAATCATCCCGACAAGGACCTCTCAGCCGACTTGCGGGGGGCGCGCTGTAGCCATGACCCGGGACGACTGGCTGGCATTTGTCGCAGAATGGCGGCACTCTTACAATGTATTCACCAATACATTTGATCCATCCAACGAGTTTGTGTCAGTCGATCAGCACCACTACAACGCCCTTCAGGACCTCCTGCAGCAGCGCGGTCTGGATGGCCTGTTCACCGATGAGAAGCTGTGGGAACTCGCTTTCGCTTGGCACCGGCTCAACCCGTGGTCGGATAGTGCCCAGGGTATTGAATTGTTGAACCGTCAGTTCGCCACTTCTACCCTGTCGAATGGGAATTTCTCTTTACTGCAGGATCTCCAGCGACATGGATCACTGCCTTTCACGCATCTTGTCAGTGCAGAGAATTTCAAGGCTTACAAGCCTTCGCCGCTGGTTTATAACGGTGCTGCCAAGATGTTTGGACTGGAGCCAGGCCAGTGCGCACTAGTTGCGGCGCATCTGGAGGATTTGAAGGCTGCCCAGAGCTGTGGGTTTCAGACTATCTACGTTGAGCGTGAGCAGGAGGAAGACATGTCAAGTGAGGAGGCTGCGGAGGTCAAGGCTGAGGGTTGGGTAGATATGTGGGTTGACCTTGAGTCCGATGGCTTCCGAGAGGTGGCTAAGCGATTTGGGATTGAGTAAGACCGGTCTACCCTCTGGGGTTAGGTAGTTAAGACTTCATCCAATGGACAGGTGGACACCATGTACATTTAAAGAATATAGCATAAACACTCGAAATACAATCGATCCATTTGGCCCAGATTCATCAGACCATGTCTTTTCATCCTTCCATAGCTCCATTTCAAACCCCCCAACATTAAGCCCAAAGGATATTTAATCTTCGCCACCCAGTAGCTGGAGATGGGATGGATTCTGGATTTTCATTAGCGATGTTAATGAACTCCTGGATTGGAATTTCATCCAGTGGAATAAGCCGGGTCTTTCGCCAAAATTTGTACCCAAAATACAAGACAAAGATAAGTGGAATGTTGAAGTACGACGATACAAACGTTTGGGGACTCCAGTTGCCCTCAATAAACACGTAGAATCCGCCAGTAATCAGAATGATAGTGAACGAAACTAGGGAGATCCATGCTGCGTAAGGTTGGAAGGGGCCTTTCCAAGGAAGTTCAGTACGGCTGATCCCTTGGTTCTTGCAGCCATAAAAGAACCTCAAATAGATCACCTCTATATTGATCCAATGTACCAAAGAGGCAGCTGAGACCAGTTGCTGGAGCCAATCAAACACAACAGAAGCTGCAGATGACAGTGTCATATATCCCAAGGCAAGAAAAGATCCGACTGTAGCAACTGATATCCAGGGAACTCCAAAGCGATTGATGCGAGTGAATAGTTTTGGGGCATGTCCCTCTTGAGCGAGGCCATATAGTGTCCTGGTTCCAACGAGCATTGCTGTCTTCAGATTAGCAGACGTATAGTGACAGACAGAAAATCCATACTCACCAGAGTTACCAGCGCTCCATGCACTTGTGACAACGACGGCATTGATGATCGAAGGTACCACTTTGATCCCGACATTAGTGGCAGCAATCGCAAATGGGGACGCTCCAGCATCGCCGGAATTTGACAGCAGCCCCTTATCGTTGGAGGGGACAATCAGGCCCATCATGAAAATAGTGATCAGATAAAATATCAAGATTCTCCAGAACACACGCTTGGCAGCTTTGGGGATGTTATGGCGAGGATTTTGGGTCTCAGCTGCTGCAACTGATACGTTCTCAACATTGGAAAATGCATAAGCTGCACTGCTCAGCACACGCCAAAACCCAAGGAACCGTCCCCATGAGCCATCGATACCAAGAAACTGCACAAAGGGTCCAGGGTCTCGCCAAAATCGAAACCCTATGGGATAACCCTGTGGGCCTGCGCCAGAGGTGATGCAGATACTCTGTGAAAAGCAGTTAGCAACTAACTAGAGGATTCTTTGCGCGGCGAAACCTGCTCACCATGATATTCACTCCAACAATCAGAGTAATCTTTAACATTGCAAAAACAAACTCCAACTCGCCGTAGATACTGACCAATAACATATTGCTAATAACCAACAGCGCACCCAGGGCGCTAATCCACACCGCGTGGTTAATATCAGACCAAAAGTCGATAATGACAGCACAAGCCACCATCTCAGCCGGCAGCAGGATAGCATTTGCATAAACACTATTCCAACCTTGTGCAAACGCTAGCGCAGGGTCAACGAACCATTCGGCGTGTCGGATAATGCCACCGGAAAGAGGCGCCAGTGCACTGAGCTCAGCTACTGAAAAAACTACACAGCAGATAAGCATGCCGACAATGCAATATGCGAGCAACATGCTTAGTGGTCCACCCCTTGCTAAGGATTTCCCGGTCGCTAGGAAGAGGCCAGTACCGATCGTTCCAGCCAGGGCAATCATTTGAATATGACGCTGTTTCAGCCCTCGCTTTGTTTGAACAAGCTCGGAAATGACTGCCTGTGTTTTGGCATTGTCTTCGCCGGCGATGGTGCGTTTGATGATAGGTCTAATCTCATTTTCGCGTGTGGTGATTTCTTCATTTTGCTCGGCGTCTTGAACGTGACTGTTCATTGCAAAAGAATGAATAGGAGAGAACAATTAAAATGGTGATGGGCCAAGAAGACTTTAGATGTTGATATCCACGTGATAAATTAAGTAACAAGCTCACTGGAGAAGGTCTCATTGGCTTTCTCAGGTGCATAATCTTTCCTATCGAACTTCACCTGCACCTCCGGCCCGGTTGATGTTGCGAACAGGAAAAATGGAAAATCAAGGGACATTGAGCATTTGTTTCCCATGTTTTATTCTTTGATATTATCTTCTTATTTCCTGTCCTAGATCCCCAACTGCTTTAGCTTTTCGTCGGTACCTGGGTCGAGATGATAGATTAAGAAGCCTGTCGAATGAAGAACAATAGGTTATGTATTCGATACTCAGCTACTACTTGGTGTGTACCGGATCAAGTATCTTAAATTCATAATCAACATGTACTTGATATGACTTGAGGAACCTATAGTGTCTATTCATAATATATATATATATATATATCTCTCTCCCCCCCTAGAGTGTACTTAACGACTAGACCATCGGAAGGACCACAAGAATAGCTACTACTTATGTGATTTGATCATTCCCCGTCTTGTAGAAACTTTACATAATGCCAGCGGACAGAGCATAATAGGCAAACTACGAGTTTAACCTATCTCATATACGGAAGTAAAGCCCCATCTCCGACAGTAGATCATAAGACGTCCCCTAAGAAGTAGAGTCGTGAAAATCAACATCGACCTATGACGGTCTTATCACGCGAATAGCATCAGCATTGTTCTCTGCACCTCGCTAGATACGGTAACACTGAGGGAAGACAAATTAAGACTTCGAACGGGGGTAGTGTAGCCCTGCTAGTAAAGTATCGAGTAAAGTCAACGAGCTCTTGGCAATTCTTTCATCTGCCTTCAGAGCAATATAAACATCTAAAGCCAATATCCTGATAACCTCAACGTTATGGAGTATGGGGTTGATATTGTTTCTGGTCACCAGTCTGAAAACACCGTCAAATTTCGCTCTTGCCTCGCGATTGCCATAGGTTGTCTGAACCGTCGCATCTCAGGCAATGGCTTATCAGATCCCCAACCAAGTTCGGTGCCTAGATATTTTCCTAGGTCAGCATCGATCTCATTTGCTCGCACTTGCTTTTCACACCTTCAGCATATGCCCCATCGCATAGCCATCCTGCATCGCTAAATCATCAAGTCCGCACTGCGAGACCACCAGGTACATATATCATCCCACCTGCCCGATTGATTCGACTGATACTGGGGGTATGCCTTAATGTCGCACCTCAATTGAACCACCCCCACCCAAGAGCGCATTATAGCTGAGTTGCTAACGAAATGTCTTGCTTTAATCAGGATGGCCTCCAAGCCTGAGGACCCGCCTCCTCCGAAGACCTGGTTCGATAGCGATGGCAGCCCGCTCCGGGGATACTACTGGATGAGAATTGACCCGAAAGTGCAACCCAATTACTGGGTGTAAGCATCTTTCTCCTAATGCCTTTGGTTGGTGTTTACTCACGCGCAAATTCTGAAGCCAACGCAAGAAGGTGTGCGAATGCCGAGACCACTTCTCAACCCAGTGGCCGGTTGACCATGTGATTGTCGTGAGTGCTCCAAACCAAGCTACCTCGAGACGTGATATTTCAAGAGATGACTAACTCTTGTTGGTCTTCCAAAGCAACTCCCTGCATGTGCCTTCAGGTGCCCATATTGCACGGCTCTCGATAACCTGGAGAAGGAGAAGCGGCCTTGCCCGGGACGGGTGAAAAGACATATTTCGGCAGCGCACATCGTGAGTACACCAATATACCTACCCACACTGTTAGCCTCGGAATAACTCTCATATCATTTAGAGAAGGCAAGGAAACTTCTACGTGGGACTGCAGATTACATGTAAGTGTACCCAAGCGCCGAAAGAGATCTACGCATACTGACCTTTGCTGCCTTCAGTGGCCGATAGATCCGATGCCGTCTCGTTTTGCAGTGGAGAGGAAGTCCCGACTGCGAAGGACAGTTCTACCTAGCTATCCTGTGACCATCTCAGAGGAAATACATGAATAATAATAAATTGAACTCTCAATCAAGCGCGGAGCTTACAGCTCGATAGTTAGTAGGACTTTTTGTATGCAGCATGATACTGCACACGTCGGCAATAGGTGCAATGGGCAGGTAGGAAGTATGACAAGACACATCCCCTTGTTCAGATACCAGAGGAACTTCTTGTTTAGTATCTTGGTAGACGGACTGGACTCCAAAGGCCGTTCTGTCGTATTGATGAGAAATCCTCTGAGAGATAACTTTTGATAACTTTAGTTCACTGGCCATCCTTACTTATTGTAGACTGCTATTGTCTAACGAGTCAGTAGAGAACTTCTGTAGTTAAATAACACTAGCACAAGCGCCTTATTTGGGCCGTAAATTTGCTATAATTCCGGTCTTCTACAACACCTTCATCGCGCATCACCATCATTGTATCGTCTTTCTTAGTGGTAGAAAGACAATGTGTAATTGAGATCATCATTTTTCTTTCAGAGTAGCGTCCAACGGTTGCAAGAGATATAGCGATGATCAACTCGAGCGAAGTACGAAAGTCAGACAGTTAATATAATACCTATGTATTAATGATACACATTAGTAATACAATACCAAGCCCTAACTTCTATCTTACCGGTCTTCGCGAAACCGGTACCGGAATAAGTCCGTTACAGCTCCTTATCTGATGTTCTCTTATCTGATCTGACGCACATTGTCAAACCAATCTGCGCCTGGGTACCACCACCTGCGGCAATATCTCACAATGCAACTCAAGCTTCTCACCTCACTGGCCCAGGGACAACCTGGTGTGCTACACCACTGCGTATGCCACCCATCCCCGCAGCCAAGCAATCCACACCACTAACGCCACTTCACAGACCGAAACCCTCGTCGCGTTCGAATACACCCGCAGCCATGTACCCAAGCCACACACACTCATTTTTGTCGGCGGGCTAGGTGACAGCCTCGGCTCAGTCGACTACTTAAGTGATTTAGTTCGCGCACTAGACCCCTCCCAATGGAGCGTATTCTCGCTGATTCTCTCCTGCGCCGGCGGGGGTTGGGGCATGGGACGACTGGGAAAAGACATCGACGAGCTATCGCAGTGTGTCTCATACGTGCGTAAGTACAAGGAGTCACAATTTGGCGCCGGAAAGGTGGTCATCATGGGCCATTCGACGGGCAGCCAAGACGTGATGCAGTACATCAACTGTCCCAACCCACGGCCGGCACACCCCGTCTTCGACCGCCACTGCAAACCAATTGTGCGGGTGCCGGTCGATGGAGCAATCATGCAAGCGCCTGTTTCTGACCGTGAGGGCATATTGTGGGTTGTGAAGTGTGGCACGGCGCGTGATAGCCCGGCCAAGATGCGCGCGATATACAATAAGGCTGTTGCTGATGCGCGGCGGGCGATGTATGAGGATCACGATCTTGTTGATACGGTTGTGCCGCTATCTGTGACCTCGCGGATTGGGTATCCGCCCTCTGCGCCTGTTAGCAGTCGGCGGTTTTTGAGTCTGGTTAGCCCGGATAGTCCAGAGAATCCTTCTGAGGATGATCTGTTTAGTTCGGATTTGACCGATGAGCAGTTCCGTGGGACATTTGGGATGATTCGGGAGAGGGGGCTGATGAAACAGAAAATGCTGGTGCTGTACTCTGGGAGGGATCAGTCGGTGCCGCCGTGGGTTAACAAGGAGGCCCTCTTGAGGAGGTGGCAGATTGCTGCTGATGGGGGCGGGCGGCAGATCTGGGATTCAAGGAGTATGGTTATTCCCAATGCATCGCATGCGTTGAGTGATAGCGATCAAGCGGAGCCGCGGCGGATTTTGGTAGAGAGGGTGACGGCTTACTTGAATGATATTCAGCGAGGGTGATTTCTGCTAGATCGAGGAGATAGTATGTTGTTTCGGGTTATAAATATGTTTATAGGGCAAATGGGCCATTTTTATGTCTTAAGATAGTAAAAGCTAAACAATATCCGTGGTCTTTGTTGGGTGACACTGATATATCAACCTTGGAAGTCTTCCAACGATTCTTCATCACGGTGTCATTCCAATCCCAAGAGCGTCTCTCAACATGCAAAATTTCCTCAAATATTCAATGAGCATAAAAGGATAGGACTGTCCGCCATATCTATTGTTTCAAGGAAACACACAGGTAGAGCTCTGGATATTACAATCTAAAAATGGCTACATGTTAGAGTACACGACACTACGGAGTACTGAGTACCTGGAAGCCATTCACTAGCAGCATATATTGGCAAGGGGACTAACATTGACTTCAAGGTAAGGGAAACTATAATCTTAATGTGAAGTCATCCCGTTACGCTAATTACACAGCCGCGTCGCATGTAGATTGTTCTGCCTGAAACCCGCTCGACATCATGACTTACATAGGTACCCAACTATGTCCACTTTTATGCCATTTGACACTGCCATATTAATATCCACTGCTGCGTAGATCCCATAGACTGGATGATAGCCCCTATTGTAGACCAAATGTAAATGACGTGATTTTATTCTTTGGAATAAGAATACCACGGCGCGGCACGGGGATACAAGTGCAGCTGATGAGTTTCGAGACTAGAAGAGCAATAAAGTTGCAATGAAGCTAGATCATACTAATAGCTTAAGCATTTTGGCCACATGGCTTCCTCCCTTTCTCCACAAATAATCGTGACTATTATTGAGCTTTGACACGCTCACATGATATCGCATTGAACTAGTCCCACCGGCATCGTTGATCCGATCAATAGCGTAACGGGAGGATCACATTATTGATCTCCATGGTTTAGAGGCATACTATCGGGGATCTTTCAGGGGCTTGGCACATTGAGATCAACTTCTACTTTGTCTGGAGTATACAGTGCCCAGGATACGTATGTGATAATAGACAACCGCCCAAAGCTATATCCAGGCTACAGATCAATAATGAAAATCCCCCGTGTCAAGCTGCAAGGGGTAGTTTTTGAAATGTTAGTCGGTTAGTTTCCCAAGGGTCCATCTGCTGGGAGCCGTCCTGTAGATCGCTGTAAGCCCGACGCATCCACAAACAGATGAGAGATGTATCACAGGTTCACGGGAGATGACAAGTGTCGTTATGCATGTCAATATGAGGCAGGTGCATATTGAATCCTGTCACCGGTACTCTGTACTCCGAATGGAGTACTCCATACAACACTCGAGATTAAAATCCTCAACCAGGGTGAGACCATAGCGGACCGTTGAACTCGAATCCAGCATTCCCCATATAACGGTCGGGAGGAGCCGTTAACAAACCAACCCCTGCCAGTATCCCATGCACGGGTCACTATTGGTGCCACGGGAAGAGCTCTCCTTTCCGGAGGAGCATGGTAACTGAGCCGGTGGCAGACCTCGGGAGTTGAATATGCTGACATACCAAAAGACTAACATGTTTCAATGTACATCACTATGGATACAGTTTGGGGCTCTCTTAAAAATTGAACAGATGAGCCTGAAACTGGATAACTATATGCTGATTTAAAAAAGAGAAAGAAAATAAAATAAAATAAAATAAATTAGTTCCGTCGGGACCCGGCCCTCACCGGAAAAAAAAAAAAAAAAAAAGAAAGAAAGAACAGTTTCCCCGATATAATCCCCCTGGCCCGCTGCCAGAGAACTGGGACGGGAAACGGAGCGGATCGATGCTCAACCAGTTACCTACTATGGAAATTGAGCGGGGATGTTCTATTATGGAAAGCAGAGGGAGATAAAAGAAAGGGGGATGAAATCCTAACAAAGCAAAATAAATGGCCAAAAAAAGAGCTCATATGGAGCATTACGAGAGTATATACTCCGTACCCACCTTCCGAACTTCCTCCCGTCGTCCTTCGAAGCTCACAGGCCCTAGGTGGATCTATGTATCAATGAGAGCATTTTTTTTGGCGCCCCGTTCCGCGGGTAGACATCGTATTGAGATGAAGCCTTTGATATCTACGGAATACCTAGGGATTAGGTATGTCGGATGCATGCACATTGGGGACGGAAAGACTCCGGGGAAAAGGCAAGTGACAGGGGTAGGAGAATGTGCAGGGGTATAACGTGGAAGACGATAACGAGAGCGAATCTTAAGGTGGCCAAGACCTGATCCTAAACTAGTTCGAGGTTGGCGTTAAACCTTTATAAAGAGGGATGTTCCGGAATCCCCAAACAATCCAGGATGTTTCGTTTGACTTACGCTATTTGGGTAGCGTCTCCCAGGACCATGGAGACTTTACCTGCCTATTACACTGATCTAGGGCTATACCTAAGTCGGTGTTATCCATGGATAGTACCCTAACAGGCTTGGAGATGGCATTCCCACCATCGACACTAATTTAATTAATCTGATTTGATCAAATTGATCAAATTAATTCTAATTGCAGGACTTTAGGTCGTATCTTGTAAAGGGACCATGTATATATGTATAATCTGTTGATTAGGTCAAACTATAGATCGTGTTTTCCACGTGTAGACCGGGGTAGGAGTAACTCCTCCGTACAACATACATGTCCTTAACTTGAGACTTAACTAATTGAGAAGATACCTAGGTAGATAAGTTCTCGGTTAACCAAAGTTTGAATCTAAATAATAATAATAATAATATTAAGAAAAATATTAAG